TCTGGGGAAAGAAAGATTATAGTTCATACCAAATAATATTGAGAATATAGATAATATTCAGCCATTTAGAATTTCAAATAACCTACGAAATACACAAAGAAATGCGTTAACTTGGTCAATGTTTTGCAACTAAGAGCTAAATCTCTTAGTGCAAATAGTTTTCAAATACCATGCTATGCGATGAACAGATACACGACAAGTTTTGCAAATACAACATCAAATCAAAAAGAAAATCAAAGATATTCTAAATATGGAGAAAAAAGAGGTCATCTTTCATATAACTCAAATCTTGCTTTTTTGTATAGTAAATATGCAGAAATGAGAATAATAGATTCTGTATATAAAAAAATAAGATTACTTTTTTATTAATAAACCCAGGTTTATATATATATATTTTTTTTTATGTCATAATGTCCATGCTGCAGTTGAAGCAGATATTAACCTATAATTCATATAGATACTTTTCTGGGTCAATAAATACTCTTGGAATTACAATATTTCATAATAAACTGCATAAACTTTTACAAAAGTAAAATCTGAGTTAACACAAAGACACTGAGAAAAGATGCATTTTGTTGCAGTTAAGTGAGTGGAGAACCTTGGGGTATAAGGTGTTACTGAATGGAATTCCCTTTATCAATAAGGAATTATTGTAATCTCTTCAAAGTCCCAGAATAAAAAATCATTAAACTTTTGAAAAAAAAAAAGGTAAAGTAATGTCAGCAATTTGTAAAAAATTAGTTGCTTTTTAACTTTGGAGCAATACTTATAAGCTTTAAAAAAGAGAAAAAAAATTGATAGCAAAAATTGTTTAAAAAGCACTGTAAAAATGTCTATAAACCTAGCTTTTAAAAAGCACGCTTTATGTACATCTGGGATTTAAAAATCATGAGTTGCAGAGACAATGAGAACTTACCCCAGGCATGGCAAACAATCCAATTAGGCTGCTGCAGGTCCGGCAAGGGAGAGAATGAGAAGAAAACATTGAGAGAAAACAATGAGAGACAACATCCTGAGAGAACATTGATTACAAAAACAGACATGGCATTGTCAGTGTGAGGGAAAGGGACACAGCAGCAAGACAGAGAACAGACATGATCATTCCCTTTACATATAGTAGGCCAAGCCCTAAAACAGGCACAAAAAAGAAGAAAAAAAGTGTAATAACTCTCATAAAGGTAAGGTAAAGCCTTTCAATTACAACAATATACTGTAATATAGGCAAGCCAAACCTTCTCCAGTGATGAGTCTTTATATAAAAAAGGCTAAACCTTTTTGCCAATAAGACTAACTCTTATTAATGAATCAGCTTCATAATGTGTGAAGCTGCTGAAATGGATATAGAAGCATTCTATCCATGGAATAGAAAAATGGCATACATGATATGCCTTAAATTCAACCAATATAATTCCTTTAACAAAAGATAAATACCTTGTGTTTAGTTTTTCATCAAAAAATTTCTCCAAAAACAGTTAGGCTCTTTCCACAGAAAAGGCCAAGCCTTTTAAAACACACAAAGAAAAGCCTTAACATATACAATACCAAGCTTACACGGTCAAGACAATAACAGAGAGACCCGTTGCTGCTGTACTGAATATACAATCTTCTTGCACACTCATGGTGAGGCTCTTCGTAGTTAGAATAAGAGATTTCACATACAAATAGATATACATTACATTACCATAGGGAACAAGGACATTATGTGACAAGATTCATCCTTACAATGTGTTAGGCTAACCACATAATCTGGAAAAATAACATTCTCATTATTTTGGAAGCTGCAAGACCAAATGGATGCTTAAATTCACTCCAGAGTGATACAAATATCAGTGAAAAAATACCTGAAAATACATCAGCTGTAAGCAAATTATCTTTTATTACAGATTATATATGAAAAATTGTTATGTAGGTTTATGTCCTTTAGGTATAATAAACCATACAGAATTATATATGAAATTTCATTAAACCTTTTAATACACTTTTGGCTTCAATAGAAAATCATACTGAGCAACTTACTTCCTGGAAACATCTTGTTTGAGCATATTAAATCCTTTAATATTTCAGTATTAGAATGGATTTGTAGAAAAAATATCCAAAAAAAAAAAAAATATAATAAAAATAATGATTAATTAAAATCATTTAAAAAATATATGTTATCTGATAACACGCAAAACAGTAATGTAGCATTGTGGTTATTGCTTTAGTTTATAATCTGAAAATATCACAAAAAGTAATACTTCTTCTGCATGCCTTGTACAATACCTTTTCATTTCATGACAAATAATATGAAAAAAACATTCTACAGACTATAAACTAAAACTTAATGCATTCACTGTTTTTGACCAACAGAAAATATATGAAAATGTAAAGAAATCAAAGTTCACTGATGAATCATGTAAATGCCTATCTCATTTAATACTCTCTCTCTCTCTCTCTCTCTCTCTCTCCTCTCTCTCTCTCTCTCTCTCTCTCTCTCTCTCTCTCTCTCTCTCTCTCTCTCTCCTCTCTCTCACACACACACACACACACACACACACACACACACACACACACAGACACACACACACACACACACACACACACACATACAAAACCAACAGCACACCCACACTCACACCTATATTGACCCACTCAAAGAAAAAGAGAAAAAAACATCAATGTGGATGGCAATATATGTGGATATTTTTCAAGAGCATTTTCAACATTATACCTTTTATAGATAACAAAACACATTTTTGGAGCATTTAAATTCTTAAAATATTCAGAATCTGTGGCTTGCTCACATCAATGGACATACTGCATAGCTAAAACATCAAAAATTAGATATAAGCTGTGGCATTGTTGGATTCATGGATTCTTTAAAACATTTTTATTGTTTTGTCTAAATCAATTAGGGCTAAGTATCTCACAGGTATAATGATTGATAAACCATATTCATGTTGACAAATGTAGAAAAGGTATGAATGACAATGAATATCTTCATAATCCTTGTATTGTGAAGATATTCATTCTCATTCATACCTTTTCTAATAATTATTAATATTTTATTTCTCTACATTCCCCTATAAAGCATATAACACAAGTCTGGCATTACTGATTAATACAAGGTTTAAACTTATATTATTTACCAAATCTAAGGTTCATAGAAAAGAGAATGATTATATGCAAGGTCATACAAAATAAAATCAGAAGAGTTAATGCACCAAGGTGATTAATCAACTTATATTTTTCTTAGAGATGCTTATCATATTTCCAGGTATTTACTTTCACTTTTGTTATAAGCATCCTCAAAATATAATTACCTTTCATTCAAATGCAAAATTAGTATCTGGGCTGAGTTTTACTTTATACATAGACATATTTTAGTACAAGCATATGAAGAAAGGTGATCTTATATTAAAAAGAATAAAAAACATGCTCACATTTGTCTCTCTTGATGTGACAATCCAGTATATTCCATGCTTTTTCACTAAATTACATACCAAATGTGGTTACATTAGCAAGAGTCCGTCATATCTATCTAGTACAATATTTATTAGCATTATCTCACAGATAACAAATAACCTATCACCTTACTTTTGAGGTTCAGAATTTGTTCATAAAACAAATCATTGCAATTAAATCATAAATCCTCTCCTTGTGTTAGTAAAAAGTGTAAGTAAATTAATGTTAGTGTTAACATATCCCTTTTAGTATAGCTTATACCTAAATACCTGATAACATACCTGTAATTTAACTCACTTGAGGTGGTCTTGGTGTCTGATCTGTGCAGAAGTACATATTTAAACAAAAACACTAATTATGAAGCTAATGAGTAATAAGAAGAAATGATAAGACAAAATCTTTCATAACAAAATTTCTTCCTCTTTTTTATTTAAAAAAATATTGAATGAATTCACCAAAACATCTCCACCTTGCCACCTGATTTCATTCACAAACGTCCTTTGAGTAGAGTAGGGAACATACCTCAGAGAAGGCATGCTTTTGCCCTTCACAAGACCCACTGGAGGGAACCTTGGTGAGGGGAGGCACGGCTGGTGGCGATCCTCAACAAATTTCTCAAGAGCTGAGTGTGGACGTGATTTCTGCTCCCCATCTACTCCCCAGGAACTTCCACCGAAATCACCTGCTCCACCTTGCTAGGGTTGCAATTGAAAGTTTATAATTATTGACTGTTTTCCATTTCAGAGCACTGAAAGTGTGCGTAGATCTGGTGATATCTTAAGCTTAAAACAAAATTTTCTGACAGATCTATCAAAACATGGTTTATTCACTCTAGCCATACTAACCTGATCATCAGAGATAGAAGATCTCCTTGAATCGTCATGACCTATTTTCTCAAGGGCTTTCTCTGAGCACGATCTTAATTTTGTCTCCACAAAGGCTTTCAGCTCATTCAGCTTCTTCTTTTTCCTTGTGCTTCCTCCACTTGTGCTCAGACCTTCTTGTTGTGGACAGTACTGGTCTGATAAGAATGGAGAGTCTGTCAAGAATAATGCACATTAAGACCTGGGTTTTTATACCTTAAAAAGCTTTTGATTTTGAATTTGCTTCAACGAACGACATAAGTGAGGTGGTCATACAGTTCCTAAATATCATGGAAGCATAGTGGATAAAAGTGAAACATGTCTTCTTCTTTTTTTAATACTTCTGGCATTGAAAAAAAATATATGCTATTCTGATAAGATAAATAAATTACAGTCTTAACAATTGCTTTTATCATTATCCTACAGGATGTGATAAAATATCCTTATAACTAGCAAATTTGCTAGTTATTACAATAGTTTCCATTACCAGTGTAATAAAACAATTCAACAGCATTCCTATTACAATGGTCAATAAGATTTTTTTCCTTCTGGACCAAGTTAAAATTGGAGCAAAATATCAAACACTCTTTGTTTGCAAAAATAAATATAAAGAAAATTTCATCTCTTAAATAAAATCAGGCTAAAACTCAAAGCTGATAAAATACACAAATAACTTTTCCATTCAAGATTTTT